TCCATATTATTCGTTATTTCTTATTTTATTCAAAGTTTTTGGTCAAATTTCAAATTTTCTTTCAAACCGTATACTTTTTTTAGTATCTATAGATAGCATTTATTTACCTCATGATATGCTGCAAAACCTAATTAATCACGAATTTCTAATTTTATGTGCTCTTGTCTCCGATTGTACCTCCCAAACATCCTTAAATGAAATAAATGCAATTTAAACCTTTTTAAAATATTATCTCTGATAGGTACAACACAGAGTAGGAAAACGTTGAAAACAGAGTACGAAATTGTCCTTGCTTTCTTCCTTTCTTTTTTAATGGTTCATAAAAAATGATATACCTAATGTTTTTTTTATTTTTATTTGGATGAAAGGGAGGTCACCGTCAATAAATGTGTTGGATTGTACCACATGCACATTGCCAACAAAACCTCCTCTCAGTTAATAACTTCTCAAAAGCAGATGTACTCGTATATAATAAATTATTTTTTATCAATAAAGCTCATGTTAATAATAATAATAATAATAAGTATGTACTTATTACCTTGTGAAAGGTGATAATTTTATTTTTTTTATTTTAATTATTACCATAGATACATAATATGATGAATTGATGAGGAGAGATAAATTATAATTCATTTTCACAACTGCTAACTTTTTTCGATGGTTATACGTATACAGGTGCCGATTATTTCATATTTAATCTCGACAATAAAAGTTATAAAAAAGTTAGCAAAAAAATTCACATGTTTGCTTAGAGCAATAAACATAACAATAACAATTTTCAGTACACAATGGTAGTACAATATGAGGAATATTGCGCTTACCTAAATTTAACATTGTGGATAGTACCTACGTAAAATATACTCGGTATGCTTCATTCTTATGAAATCTAATATGATCATTGTTTTCATACAAGTATTTAGTATTAGAGAGGATGGAGATAGCCGTTTATGACTTGGTAAGAGCAATGAAATTAAATGATTATCTGTTAATATACGTTATTGAATTTTTTTAATGTCGCATTCACATCAAGAAAAATTCCAAGTTATCATCCTCGAGTTACAGATTACACATTTTAACAATTTATGTGTTATTATGCTTTTAGGTTGGTAACGATGTATGAAATAGATAATTCAAAATATGAAAAGCTGGAATAGCTCTTTATTAATAAAACTATTCCTGAGGTAACAGCATTTATATGGAACAGTATTTCATAAGTTTTCCATCAGAATCGAGTCAAAGTGTGTTATTGTTCAACTAAAGTTTTAGCATTAATTATTTATAAAAACGCTATGATGGGACAACTCAACTTGATTCGACTAACAGTGGAAACTATTAAGTCCTTGTAGTATTTTCAAAATAGATGATTTAACAAGCGATTTCCTTTTGTTAAAAGCGACCGGCTCTGCGCTATTCTATAGTCCTTTTTCCATATATTAGGTCTAACCCTACTTTCACATCCCTCATTTTTATTAATTTTTATAACATACTCTTCTGTCTGTACTGCTACCATTTTATCTAAAGCTAACTCGTAACATTTCCTGTCTAATCCTAAAATGTCCTGATTTTAATGGTACAAATCGCATATTCAATATACCAATTAAAAGACGTAGCGGTGACAATATGCATTCTTTCTAATAGTTACTTCTCTACTTCAAATTCTATAACTAGCTGCTGCTCTCAGTATGGAATTTTTATAATCACTCTTCTATCCTTAAATCCTATCCTCGCATTCTTAAGTATTTTTAACATCTTTTTCTGTTCATCTTTCTCAACTAATACCTTTATTGATTTATGTAATGGGAATTCTTCCTGTCTATTATCAAATAAATAAATAATATCTGTAAAGGTAAAGTATATGGCTAGAATCCAAGCACAAACAGAAATGAATATTTAGAATAAGAAAAAAATAGAAAATCAAAATAGATATTTCACGTATTCTACATACATAGGTATATATTTACATTTTCAACAAAACTATTTCAAATAAATCACATTATTCCTGTTTATGTAATTTCTATTTTCACCAAATTCCAAAATATTTTGGCAATTAGATACTAGTAACAAAAGAATGATCATAAACGGAATAGGTAGATAGGTATACTTATCACTGAGAATTGTTATTAGAAAATTTTAATTATGTTTTGCAAACAAACTTAATGTTATCGAGTGCTTTGTTTATTTAATGTTATTATTACACTTAGAAAAACTAAGTATATAGCATATGCATGTGCACGATGGGAAACTTAATTAGTGGATCTATTTGTTTGTACTAACTATACTGTTGAGATAAGTTCATTCAAAATCAGTAAATATTTTACGTTTACTCCTATATGTATAGGTACATAAATATATTATCATCCATTAGTTATCATCCAATTTTTTTAAAATCTGAACTAAGTACTCATGCATTTTCGTTTAATAAAATAGGTTTATCTGACAGCTCTATTTTAATAACTGTTTTACACTCAGTGTCTGCTAAACTTTGATATATTGCTTATCAGTTTTTATATTAACTGTCAAGCTGCATACAGGAAAGTAAAAATAATAAAGAAACCAAAGAGATAGCACCTTCCTGGGGTCTGAAATTTACCCAGCCAAAAAAGCAAACATAATTTATATCTACTTAATGCATATTTGAAGTTCTTCGTCTTTCACAATAATTTTTTGTATCTTAATTCTAGTTTAGATACAAACAATAATTGTGAAACAAGAAAAACTTTCACTGAAAAATTATTTCAGGGTTCTAATCTTAATTTAAATGACTTGTAGAGATTAGATACAAAATATAATTTTGGGAAAAGACCTTAGACCGTCAGACCTGCTGAAAAATTATCACATAGGCATAATATCCTACCTTAAATAATTTTGAGAGTTTACTTACGAAAGATTTTTGGGGAACAAGAAAAACTTCAACTGAAAAATCATTATCTAATGTTGAAGGGTTTAGCAAACCTATAACTAACCTTTAAACCCAATGACAAATTATTTCACAGTTCTAATCTTAATTTAAATGACTTATAGAGCTTAGATACAAAAAACTATTATTATGATAGGTACAAGAACAACTTCATCTGAAAAATTATAATTTAATATTGAGGGCTATAGCACCCTATAAATTACCCTTAGACTGGCTGACAAATTATCTCATGGACATAATTTTACGTTAAATTATATTTAGAACTGAGATATAGAAATTATTGTGGGACAAGAAAAGTAGTTATTTATTTTTTTTGGGAATTGTAACGTGTTTTATAGGTGAAGTTAGTGTTATTACTCGGAGTTTGATTCATGTATATTCGGTGGATGTGGCTTTTTTTGACATCCTTAACTACGACTGGTAGTTCTCTTCGAAATTAATAAATGTCTTGATTATTTTGACAAAACGTTTATTACCTATAACAACAACTTCATTTCATCGAGTATATTTAGTTATAATCGAGAAGTTATTAAAACAACTTCAAATAAAAGTACATCTACTTTCATGCGTGCCTAGAAAAACGATTGGAAATTTCAAAAATCCTCAACCTGACTGAAGATTGAAAGTGTTATCTCAGGTGAATCAATGATTATTTTTAGAATGTAAATCATCATCACCATCGTAGTATCGCCGAGCTCCACTCGTTGCTTTCTTCCGCCACATTCAACGTTTAGTTGTTAGGATGATGCTAAATGCAGCACCTACATAATATATTTCATCTTGTCGATGCATAATGTAAGTAGCACTCGACCCGCGTGGTTATATGTAGATACTACCGAGTCATCGTGGTTAAAGTGCTCTTCAGATGCGACCTTCACCATGCAGAAGGACCACACAACGATATGGAAGGACCCAGCGCAAGACCACCACAACAACCTCTCTTTCATCACCAACCACGCACCTTTACTTTTACAAAATTTTCTCGAGGTTACATTCTAATAGACCTACTTACTACATAGAGACTGACCATTCGTTTTTCACTTTTATTTGTTTTTGATTTTGGTTTTGCAAGTAGGTATATATATAAAAACATGTAAATCTAAAACAATACCTTTGCAGAATAGTACATTGAAATTGATCGATTAGGTTGCTGATGTTGAAATTTCGGGTTCACAAAACGCAACCTCTTTAAATAGTCACATTTAAGTACACATATTTCTCAAATAAATGCGATTGAACCAAGGGAATGTATGTTATAATTTATTTTCGATATTTTGTGGGCACTTTATATTTCTGTAGGGTTTTGGGATTCACATTCGGCCTTTTCCGGCGAATACCATGGACATTTTGCTCTCCATTCGTCGTTAGGTTTCTGTTTGTTCTCAATAACCAATGTCAGACTATAAAAAAAATTAAAATAAAAAAAATATTAAACATACCCTGAGATATAGGTACATGGTCAGAAAACGTAGTAGTATACAAAATTTTCGAAAACCGCACGAAGAATTTAGAGAAAATATTATAAAAAAGTTCTGGTAGCAATTCTGTAAATGAGGTTAACCCTGAAATTATGAGAAATTTATAGGACAATTAAGTGTTAGTATGGTAAAGAAAACGTCTGCAGACATTTCAGTACGTATATAACAACGATATGTTTAAGTTTTGCTTGAATCACATGAAAAATATTAGCGTTATATAGTATAAAACACTTTAAATTTCCTAGTGGCTAATATTAAATATTAATTGTGAAAATTCTTTCTAAATTTTTTATCCACTACAAATTCCACAAATTAATGAGCATTGGTGCATAAAGCAAAAGGTCCCAGGTTCGATTCCCGTTGAGGGTGTGAGAGCAGCAACAATTTTCGTGATTAATTTGAGGTAATTTGTAGGTAGTGGATAAAAAAATTTCAAGTTATATAGTATATCCTTGTTTTGAAATTCAAAGAAGCAAAGTGCTACTTGTTGCTAATATTACTATTATTAAAGTACATCTTAAATATTATTTCTACTAAATCGTTTTCACAAATACATTATACTTTTAACCTTTGCTGCAATGTGGTAATACACACGACGTTGTATTAGCAGATAGATCTCAGTAGCATCACTTGAAACTGATTCAGTCAAAAGTCAATTATTCTAGGATATAATATGCCTGTACGTATGCTACTACAAGGACAAGAATAGTGATTATTATACTATTATAAAGTAGTGAATAAAAGTCAAGTATCAAATTAACTATTAAAAGTGTACCCACGTGTCTTCACGGACCTAAAGAAATATTGGTGCGGAAAATGAATGTGGTGGATAATAATGATTAGTACTTGTTGCAGTCTCCCACATTTTTTATTAATACTTAATGACCTTGACGAGTCTTTATTTTTTTTATTTTTTTCTTTATCTTAATACCTACTGCTTCAGTAAGACAGAGATCATGGTAATTTTAAACTGAAAAACTATTCAGCAATTCACATAAATAATAGAAAACGAAAATTTCAAATTTGGAATCGCACGGAAAATACTTGGAAAATGAATTCAAATAATGGTGATGAACAACATCATACCTAATATAAAACTATTCCTCTATTATATCAAAATAGTGCACCACGTTTTTCTACTTGTAATTTTATACAATTAATCAATAGATCGCAGAAATACTTAAATTTAATCGAGTTGCAAATTACTGCTGTGTCCATCGGTAAACCATCAACCTTGTTACGTCATCATAAAGAACAACGATGACATGGGGCTGTAATCGTACTTTCGTACAAAGGGGCTGCAATATCACCCAATTACCGATTCATTCACCACACGGTAATACATGCGACTCCGGCCAGCACTTTGACGTTTTTCGATTTTGTCAAGTCATCGACCAATTTTGTTATCATATTCCTTGACGTGCACCTGGTTTACTGCTCTGACGTATCAAGGGGTTCTTCTGACTTATTGAATTTTAATTATCGATGAGCGCTGGCTTTTATCTATCTACGCGTCGCTAAATATGTGAGGGTTGTGACATGTTACTAATGCACAGTATGTCTCGAAAATTGTTTTTACAAACAGGTAAAAGTCTGCACTTTTTGACCAAAGGAAATCACTTCTGCGGCAACGGTTAATTTTGCAATTCGAAAAGGACTTATAAAAGTATTGATTGATTGATGTATGGCATTGTACGTGTTTAAAACGTGAACGGTGAGGTGAGGAATTATGGAATAGGGCGATTTGGAAAAAGTAGAAGAATAGTAAGGTACTGTGGAAGTCAATCAGTAAAAGGAGAAATAAAATGGTGGGACGTCATCACTTAGTTACAAGGATATGGAATTTTCTGGTTTTCGGGAAATGCGATGATTAGCTCAGGTAGATAAAGGAAGATGTGAAAATGCGTATCCAACCAATCTTATGTTGTAAAAAAGTCTAAAAGATTCGATTATTTTTCTAAATAGACGCTGGAGTTTTTAGGAGAAAGCTGCAGGTATTTCAGAGTCTTAAATAGAGAGAAATAGAGACAACGAATATATGTAAATGTTTTTGGACAGCTGATGCTCAATAACTTTTACAACTGATGTGAACGTAAAGTTTATGAATTTGTCTAGAAAATATGTCCTTTTCATAATTTTAATGTCAGTTTCAATCAAGGAATTTCATTACGGATATTCATACACGTAAAACAAATTAGTTCGTCCTATGTGAAGGCAAAGTATCAACTAAATCTGTGGATTTCTTTGATATGAAAATAACAAGTAAATGTACCTATACGTAGTAATTAAACGTTGTCTAGGCCCTAAGGCACACAGCAACACCTGTGAAGTTATTTAACTTCTCAATGCGACTCCTAACTGTTTACCAATCCTTTACCACCCACCGCATTTGTACGTAATTTTTTTATTGACTTGCAAATGGAATAAAAGGATTTTATTGTCAGACATCGACGGAAACACTTTTACACTTTTAAAGAACATATATATTGTACCTATTGTACCCATTCACCTCATCGATATTTTATATAACAAAATCGAAATTCTTCTTCGGTATTTATAAAACGTGAGAATGACTTTTATTTTTTGTGTATAGTGTAACAACCTTTGTTGGATGGGCACTTCTTTTCGAGTGAGACAAACTCGACGTTCCATCGGTTCTCAAACCACCACCCACATAACACTCTTGGACATACACACACATATGCAATAAAAAAAAAAACGTCGAACGTGGCTCGTCATACACATCACATCAGCATCGAGGGTCATTAAACAGAGAGCTACTGTTTTACTCACAACAAACACACTGCCTCTGTCCGTTCGGTTTTTATTACGAATCGTAAAACGTTACGCGTTTTATTCATAAGATCAAGACGATACGGCTTCTGCTTTGGCTACTGCTAGGTGCTGACCGTTCTGTCTGTCCGTCATTAAAGAATGTATCCTACAATTAACATAAACCTCCTAATAGTTGTCCATTGAATGTTCGAATGGAGAAGTCGAGTACCTCCTGTGTCTGCACGGATGCTGACGATGCTCTCTGACATCGAAGTATCTGGTAGATCTGGTGGTTACCGGTCATTAAAAGAAAAGATGCAAATTGAAGCTGCATGACTTCACAATAAAGGTAAAAAGTCTGTTGCTATCTGAGCATGTGACAGAGGGAAGATAGTACGTAAGTTGTCGCGCTTTGGCAAGAAAATAAAAGAAAACGTTTTAACAAGAGTCATTCGGAATTCTCTACCGATTTGGTAATGAATGAATCGACATGAATGGGAACCACTGCTAGAATATTATTTATAATGCATGTTGTACAGTTACAGGTACTTGAGTTCTTGTAGTACTTAATGAACACACAAGAAAATCGCCGAAAAGTCTTTTTATCGTAATGTAATAACTTCTTGGTTGCATCAACCAGGACTGTTTGTGCATTGATAACTAGAACATATGCATTCCACGCGAGTTGTTCGCTTTATTAGTAGTTATGTACTTATTGAAAAAGTAACTCACAATTCATACGAATTCAATACTTACAGAAAATCTGGTTTTGGCGCCAACCCTAAATTCGACGCTGTTTTTGGATCAGTTCCTGACTGCATTCAATTCTACAACAGTCAAAGTCGCTAAATAAAGGGCTATCCGTAATTTTCATAATTAGGGTTATTTTTCCTAATTTTTGAAAAATAATGTTACTTCTTTAGAGGAAGTGGCTGATTTTCGGTTTCTAGGAAGTCAGATAACTCGAGATAGAAGGAGCAGAGGAAATATGAAATAGAGGCTAGCGCAGGGTCGAGTCACCTTCAACAAAAGGACAGTTAATTTATAAATTCGAAAAGCTGTACGGGTGCGAAACATAGATGGTGGACGCGGCGGAAAAGAAAAGGTTAGAAGCGTTTGAAATGTGGAATTATGAGGATACCATGGATGGAAAAGGTTAAAAATGAGGAGATAGAAAGAATAGAACAGAGGTCAATAAGCAATAGGCGAGATTAGGTTGGTAGGATACATTCTCAAGGATGAAGGACTAGTTAGAGACATATTAAATGCGGAAACAGGAGTTAAGAAGAGTAGAAGTAGACCTAAATTAGATTAGATACTGTTCACAAATAATTAAAAATGTGGAATGTCCTACTTTTAGAGAAATGCGATGATTAGCTCAGGGAAAAGTGATGGAGGTGCGCGTCCAACCAGTCTTAAGACTGACGACCTTATGATGATGATGACTTACTTCTTTGAAAACTGTCCAAAACTAACTGAACTCTCAAAACCCTTTGAACATAGCCACAAAGCATAACACTCTTCCAAAGGATATAAATGACAATTATTGGACTTCTATTCCTTTATTACTTATATGAAAACATGACTGAAGGTACTTGTACGGATTTCCGTCGTATTTTTCAAAAGATGATGCCCCCGTTTAATGATTGCATGTAATAATATTTCTCAATTCGCCACAAGTGTATATATTATATGCTAGTTCAATGTGCTCTTACGATTACCTATTGGATTGATTCATGCAGTCTCTGTGGATGATGTAGATGCAATCTCTCAATAATTTTAGAGTAATTTTCGGTCATAATTACACCCTCGACAAAATCGATCCGGTGGATCCAGATTATTACATACTGTAGTGACGTTAACCCTGACAACGAAAAATTTAAACCAAAAATAGATCTAAATTGTTTGCTTTATTAAAAGTTTGGGATTTTTTGCTGCTGGAATTATTGGCGGTCACGATGGTGTTCAAATACATTGAAGCTCCAAGTCTATTTATAGATCCATTTTTTGTAATATCATATTTTTCAACGGTATTAAAGAATAGATATTATCAAATCAATTTTTTTTGCAATTAGGTTTTTAATTGATAAAGATATCAACGTAAGTAGTTATATAAAAAAAATTTATTGTAGTTTGCACTCATAGTT